CTTCTCATCTAGATAAGAGTTATTTTCAACCCCCTTTCCATCATCTTCTGCTATCTTTCATACCTTTCCGTTCTTCCCACGGCTTGTTGACACAGTGAAGACTCTTTGAATTGGTCGCTATTAAGATTCATAACTGATAGGAAAGGTGTTTCATCTATGTCCAAACCAATCCCATTCTACCCAAGGATACGCTTAATTCGAATCTAGTTTTAATGAGTTGGGTAACAGATAACTTATCTCAAAAGTATGTACAATCGCATCTTGGAAGATCTCCCCTACGAGTGAGAAAGAAATCACTGCAATTGCGAGAAAGGTACCGCTGGTTGTGTCTTATCTCAAAACCACCTGCTATCGAAAATTTCTCCTTCTCTCGCATGGTGTAAGAGTTGTAATTTGTATGCAAGATCTCTGATAATGAAAAAAAGGAGGGGGGTTGTTTGCATGATACCATTATGAACCGCTTTTTGCAGGTGATAGTACCCCTCCCAAAAGTGTTAAAGACGCTCCTACAAGTGCTGTGTTAATAGCCTTGTCTAGATCATTACGAGTTTTCTTTGTGAAAAGGAGCAACTTGTTAAGGTGAAGTGATGCAGTCGATATCGCATCATCATCGAAGAGTCGAAATTAATTTCTCTTTTTAATGACACAGAAAATAAATTAGCTGCTGGGATAAATGTCATTAAAATTTTAATGATATTAAAGTTAGACTGGAGTGAAATATCAATTAAACTCATTTTCACCCATGGATTAACGGTCCCCATTTTAGCGTTTCAGAGATTTCATGTTCACATAAATTATTTAACGAATGTCAACGTTGTATGCAATACACTAAAAAATGCTAATTAATCGACTAATTATTTAAAAACCAAATATATACGAATATTTAAAAACTAACAGCGTAAATTATGATTATAAAAAATAATAACCTAATTTTCTGTGAGAGTATTTATCGCAATGACATTTAGGTGGGTGCCAATGAGACACGTGCACCTACCTGTCCCACCTCAGTTGGTGTGGATAAAGTAACATGTTTATATAAACCATATACCAGTCTAGAGAGACTAAGACAGCCTTATATAGCTATAATAATTATACCCATATAAAGGACAATTTAAGGACTGCTTTCGACGTGTATTTGTAGATTTATACCGGAAGTGCTCCGTCCTCCCATCTTTGAAGCTTTCATCTGCCCGCGTTTGAAATTAAAAATTGTGCGTGTTTAAAGAGTGATTCCTCAGTTTAGCACAGGCTATTCATGATGTTTATATGTGTTTCTTTGGTGATTATCTATACAATTGGTTGTACTTTGCTCTGTTCACAATTTTGTTATCTGTTTTCTTTACAGCCGTTTCACTTATTTTTTCTGTTTTTTTTTTAAACTATTTGAAGTGTTTGTACTGTTATTGTACATAGTATAATTTAAAATTGTTTTTGGCATATCTATTTAAGAAAGAAACCATTATTTGTTAGTTTCCAAAACGTCCACCAAAATTGACCAAAACATTCACATACACGTTTGAGCTGACGCCAATCTGAGGTTAGCACCTTTAAGATGATCGTCGTAAAAGGCGGGTGATTCAGGCAACCACCCAGGGTGCCGAGACCAGGAAAGGGGGAGGGGTGGCATTTCGAAGTAATTTTGTATTGCTAAATTGGGGTAGTCGAATTTGATTCTTGACCGTGAAGTTGTGACGGGTCTAGTGTCAATTCATTACCACAGTAGTGCAAAGATGGCAGAGTATGAGCTCTCCTGTATATTTTGTACAGGTTGTCTCAAAGCAAAGTTGAAATGTTTGGGTTGTCAGAAATTTAGAATCAATATAAAAATAGGTCGTTTGTTCTAGCGAGTGTGTGCACCTCCCAAATTTAAAAATCTATTTGTAATCACATTCTAGACACTACCAACAATTACAATTCGCTCAAATAAATAAATTTTAATGTGCTGTTTTGAAATCATATAACAAAAATATAATAACTTGAATGGTCAACCCCATGTGCAACCTTTGCGTTACGTTTCGGTTAGGAGTCATGAGTGGGTCCCGAGTGGCTAAGTGGTCTAAAGCGCTCACCGTTCCGGATAACTGCCATCTAACCTCTGCCAGAGTGGTGTTGAGTCTTACTCTCAGCTAACTTGTGTACGTGAGTAAGCCTGCCTTTATCTTTTCGTTAGTCGGTGGTTCTTCTCGGGGTTTTCAAGGGGTTTTCCTCCACCAGTTACACTGGCAGCTATGTATAGCCTATTTTGTGCTGAAAAATGGCGTTAAACATTACAACAACAACAACAACAACAACAAGGCGTTATGAGCATGACTTAAATGATGCTGTCGTGTTCAACCATTACCGATTAAACCATTGTGGAGCGTTGCAACAAAACCATTGCAATGTGTTATAACTGTTTCAATTATTGTTTCGAATTTCCTAAAAACGATCAAATACATTTTATTGGTATTGTTTGTATATAAGCAGAATATTCAGTTTCTAGTGACACTCTTGAAACTTTATTTACCCCATCTCTCCTTCAAACTATTTTTAGGTGGAAAAGTTACAATAATTAAAATCTGTCATTTAAGAAAACACTATTAATGAAAAGCTACATCTAAAATTAAAACCTGGCTAAACGAGACAGTTTGTATGAACCCTACCTTCTTATTGCAAATTTGTATTTCATCCAACAATATATGCGTAAATACAGAAATGTGCCTAATTACACCTAATTTTACCTGAAACTATTTAAGTAAATAAAAGCCTAAATTAAAAATAATAATAATAATAATAATAATAATAATAATAATAATAATAATAATAAAAATAATAATAATAATAATAATAATAATAATAATAATAATAATAATAATAATAATAATAATAATAATAATAATAATAATGATGATGATGATGACGATGATGATGATCATAATAATAATAATAATAATAATAATAATAATAATAATAATAATAATAATAATAATAATAATAATAATAATATAGAACTTTATTCTAATGCGTATTAATGGATACAAAAATCACACCTTGAAATTATTGCATATAATCTCTGGGATAAAACTAAAGTACACATTGAAAATATTGTATATAGTTTTAAATATCAAAAGTATGCATTGAAACTATGAATAGTTGTAAACATTTAAAATATTACAAATTTGATAGTTTTCATTTTAAAATGTTACACCCCTATCAACATGTGGTATTTTTTGCGGGGGATGAAAATATGTTCTATACAAAGCATATTCCTTCATACAAGTCAATTACGCAATCAATAATTTTCAAAATTATTAGACTACTTGAACTCAATTCCGTTTGAACATTTTTTTCCGTCTGGCACATATGAACAAAATTAAGTAAAATAGAAAGCAGAAAGAAAATATGTTTTATGCTAATCTCTCTCAAGTTTGCTGATGTTTACTGCGGAGAGAGAGAGAGAGAGAGAGAGAGAGAGAGAGAGAGAGAGAGAGAGAGAGAGAGAGAGAGAGAGAGAGAGAGAGAGAGAGAGAGAGAGAGAGAGAGAGAGAGAGAGAGAGAGAGAGAGAGAGAGAGAGAGAGAGAGAGAGAGAGAGAGAGAGAGAGATTCCACTATATTTTCCAACAAACTTACGGGAGCCATGGTAGTTCATTTGGCAGAGTTTTGGACTCATAAGCCCAGCATATCTGGGTGCATACCCTAAGGAGTATTTCAATTAATGTTTTAGGGACTGTAATAACATTTGAATACACATTATGTTAATTCTTCCGTTCTTGTGACAGTGTCGAAGTTATTTTCTTATCTGATTCGATGATACTCGCGCAGCGCTTATCAAAACAGTATGCATACGTTTTACCTAACATTATTGCATGTAAGCAGAGCAAGCTTATGTAATAAAAATTAATTGAATTTCCAAGAGAGATTTGATCATATTCCCCTTCTTGACGCTGTCTGCTCTTAAATGATGTAAAACTTCACATTTATGTTGCATAAGATTGAAAAACCAGCATATCGCAATTAGATTCATTCCGAATTTATGATCTAATTCCCTGCATAGACTTACCTCTACAGAATTCAACAATTTATTGGCATCGATGTAGTTTAATGAACTTTTTTTTTATCACACTTACAATTACAGTAGTGATATTTTTGCATTCGTTTCCTTGAAGAGGGCCTTAAAACCATTTTCTGGGGTGCGACCTGGTATGAGTCCAATGAACCTTATCAGGTGTCCTTTCTCATTATTTTAAACAACGTGCAATCGTTGTGCCACAAATTGATATTATCATCATTGCTGCTATGACGACGATGACGATTATGTATATAACAATTTATTATTATTATTATATTATATTATATTATATTATATTATATTATATTATATTATATTATATTACATTACATTACATTACATTACATTACATTACATTATATTATATTATATTATATTATATTATTATTATTATTATTATTATTATTATTATTATTATTATTATTATTATTATTATTATAATTATTATTATTATTATTATTTTACGGTTACTGTCATTCTCTTGGTTTTTTTTAATTACAAAATGTATATGGAGTTCTAACAGTGTTTTTGGCACAAGTGAATTCTCATTCGTACTTATTTTATACTACAACCTGTCCATGATGGTCAAAAGGTAATGAGATCCAGGATTCATGGACATTCAAAGATTTGTAAATAAAATGACATGTCAACAATATTTTGGTTCACGTTGTTAAAGAATCACCCAAGTTCAATTTTAATATACGAATCAGTTCACAATAGTATGCTTATACTATGATACTTTCAGCCGAGGAATACATATTAGCTTGATGAATCACTCGTTAAATGCGGATATATTGCGATTGGATATTTCCTATCATCTGTCTCCTTGAGTCCAATTGTCTCGCAATCCATCAACATGTTTTTGAATTCTTAATGCAGCATATACAAACTGAGTATGCTGTAAAAAATATAAAAAAAAATTAAAAAAAAGAAATTCATTCAACCGTTCCGGTGGCCTAGTGGTTAAAGTGTCCGCATTAGACGCGGGAGGTCGCGGGTTAGAATCCTCGCTAAATCATTTCAAAGATTTATAAAAATGATACAGCCACCTCGCTATGTGCTCAGCATTACGAGGTTAGTGTTAGGCATGGTGTCAGGATAATGTGACTGGGTGGGAAATCGTGTTATTTGTCAGATTTATGATTCCCCAGTGCTTGACATCAATAAAAATGGTCACAATGCAGACATCGTAACGATATGACAGAAAAAGTTTTAAAGCTACATTAAAATCTCTCTCTCTCTCTCTCTTTCTCTCTCTCTCTCTCACACACACACACATACACACACACACACACACACACACACACACACACACACACACACACACACACACACACACACACGCATTAATGACTAGATGAAACGAAGTGCCATCCCCGGATATGGGGTGAGGGAAGGGACGTGAGTTGGGTTTAAAATTTAGGGAAATAGTGAGAATATTTTCGATCGCTCCTGTTTAATTTTTTTTTTTCATGTTAAGACTGAGCACTGCATTTGAGTCACCTTCCTTTCTAAAGACGTTAATAAGAAAAATACTCTGTCCAGTCTACCAGTTCCCGTCACAAGTTAAAGACTCCTACCCAATTTTCACATCAAATGGTCTGAAGTCGATGGGTTATCGACCTTAACAACTCATGAAAGGACGCGTTAAAAATTAGATTCTTGCAATTTCCCCCGTGTTGTACTTATAACCCTGACATTTGCCTCGGGGCAATGGGTTGTAATATATACTTGGGAATGCGAGAGAAGGTTAATCATATCATTGTCTCAGAGTGTTTGTAGTCTAGAATCCTCATTACCACGGTCTGTTTGAGGCAATTACCGTTTTATCGCTCCTTCATTACGACCGGCTGCAGCAATGTAGCAACAGACAAAAACTAACGAAAAATGGAATTGAAGCCGGGGTCTCTGACGATCATCTGATGCTATCACTGCGTTCCTCGCCCTTCAACAAAAATGCTTTCTGCATCGACATAAATCAGACTTCTTTGATAGATGGCTGTGTTTATGTCTAAATCCCTCATCATGAAATAACAATGCGCACAAGAAAATAACCCTTCGCATGCATACATGGTTGCAGTACGAAGAAATGACATTAGCACCATGCCGAACAATGTTGTTCTCCTGTTGTTATAGATACCCACAAATGTCTGTAGAAATACACGAAATGATCTTTAACATCTAGAAAGCAATATGATGATTTGAATAAAGACACTGACAGTCTATGCAGCACAAACTTTCAAGAATTCTTGCCAGCTCATGCCCAGTAGCAGGTACATTGTGATGTTTGTATATATATATATATATATATATATATATATATATATATATATATATATATATATATATATATATATATATATATATATACACACACACACACAAACACACACACACACTAAATCCCTTCTAGGTCCACAATAAATGTAAGCAAATCTATCTATCTATCTATCTATCTATCTATCTATCTATCTATCTATCTATCTATCTATCTATCTATCTATCTATCTATCTATCTATCTATCTATCTATCTATCTATCTATCTATCTATCTATCTATCTATCTATCTATCTATCTTTGTATATATATATATATATATATATATATATATATATATATATATATATATATATATATATATATATATATATATATATATATATATATATATATATATACACACTAAATCCCTTCTAGGTCCACAATAAATGTAAGCAAATCGGGTATTTTTACACATGCGTGTGTCCGTGTTTAGCGTCCTCAAGTGAAGTTCATACGAGGTGTTCTAGTCAGTCAAAACAGCTGCTCTTGCTGAATTATATTGTTTCTTTCTGACGTACAAGACAAATAAAGGGCTATTCTACGTTGCCTATAGTAGGCCAGTTTCACAATACCTGAAAAATGTTGTCCGAGAAGTCTCGCAAAATCTCGAAATTCAAAAATGAGACTCCCGCTGATCTGAGAGGAATCATGCATACCTTATCTTATAGAAAAAAATCGGCTAGAACCGATGTGAAACTCCACTTATTATTGGCGGAAGTACTAGTAAAAAATTTGAGACATAAAATTACCATTCCAGAATAAGCAGGTACGATTAACGCGTGGGGCTATATTTGCTATCTTTAACATTGAAGGTATCCGAACACTGTCTGATCGGGTTATGTTGTAAAAATCTGCTGCTCGAGGATGTCTTTGAGACGATTCGGGATATAACCATGCGCGTGTACTCAATGCTGTCAAAACGAAAGGTCAAGTTAGATCTGTTCACTGACATTGATGCACATCTGTTTATTTGAATGTTGTGTCATGTGATCTATAGGCTCGAATAAACAACCTTCATGTGAGTGGATATGACCAAGGTATCACAGACTGCTACAGTTTAGCTCGTCACCATTTCCTAGTATGGCAGTCATTGATGCAGCCAATTAAAGGAATTTAATTCCGGAGCTGCATCGTCAGTTGGAGATGCGCATATGTCAAGTTCATCTGGTACCGGAGATTTGCCAACGTGCATGGATGACTGAATAAATCCAAATGAATTACTACCTGTTCACGGTTGTGCCTATAGAGTTGAGAAAAGCTTTTTCAGGCTAACCAGTGTTGGGAAAGCAATTGAAAACCTGCAGAAAAAAATCCGCGTGGATCTCGTCCTCGATGGCGGACAAGAAACCTCAACATGCTGAGTGTGACGCGATTTTCAAGTCCTGGAATATCTTCGATGCTCGACGCATAGCCGTACATAGTGAAAAATCAAAGCTGACTAAATCCATGTACGAGTCCTATTATAACAAGATAAATCCACGATAGTTATACATATTATCACAAAAATACACCTCATTTTGGCGAGGCTTCACTGGTAAACGATTTTAAGAATGTTTATCCGAAATATCATTTGCTGTTCAGAAACTTCAACAAGAAGGTTGTGGGGAAATTCGGAGACAAATCCGCGGACGTCGACGCGATTTGCGTTTTTTTTTTTCAGACACTGCGCGGTTATTGTGCAGTAGTATATTCAATCGTGTTCCACGTCCGTAGTAGCTTCATCCAGTGATATTCTTTTTGCTATGATATTAACTCCACATTGTTGTTGGTCCTGGTAGCGGCTAACTTCCTTATTGGATCTTGCGCGTCTACGGCCAGTGGACATAGAAGGTATGGACCCGGTGGTTCTGAAGAAAGTAGACTTATGTACCCTACTTCATTCGCAAGTTTCAACGATTACAGCTTGATTTATTTTTTGTTACAACCCGGGTTGGATTGGTGGTGAGAATTTTCATTAGGCGCTGCACACAAGATGACGCCATGATTGAGTTTGTTACACAGCCATGAATGTTCAACATGGCATCAACAAAAGAGAAAACAACAAAATATTTCACTTTGATTGACTTCTCTGTGCTGGCAAAGTATCGACCACCTAAATATGATTAGATGTTTCCAAACTCGCACGTTGACCATCGGGCAGGCCGGATCCGGAACAACCCAATTGTTACTTACTCTAATCATGAGATCGGTAATATGGGATCGATTGTAAGTGATTGCATCATCAGCGGAAGATCATCCATGTTATGATGTACTTAAAAATTTCACCAAGTTCTTGCGTATTAGAAGTCGTGTTCGTAGTCCACCATTGGACAATCTTTCGCAGGAATATAATAATCTTGTCCTGTACGATGATATGATACTTGCCCGACAAGAAAACATCGCTTAAATATTTTCAAGTGGCCGGCATATAACACGGATTTATGTGACCCAACACGACAACTGCAACGTGCTGACAATATTTTGTGGGGTTGATAAGAATAATCTTCATAACATTCATTAGATTCTGTTGTGCCGCCGAATAGTCGAGAGATGAGTTTCTGAATATGTTTCCGCAGGTAACTGGAGAAACGTATGGCTTTATCGCAACTCACTTGACCGGAGGATAACGTTTCGTGCGGGTCTGGACTCGAATGCGTTCCACGAGATAATTTAAACGACGATGATAAACGTATACGATGTCAAAACATGCCCATGATACCATAACACCGTATGTTGACCGACCTCGAACATATGTTATAGATACACTGTTCAAACGCACAAGAAAGTAGTGACTACCATCGTTAACACGGTATTTACAGAAGATAATTCGGGTCAAATTTTAAGTATGATCCAAACCATAAAAGCTACTGGATGTGCTATTGGATACTAGCCAAAGCAGGCAGAAAAATTCAAATAAGCCTTCGAAGAAATGGGAGCGAGCGTTGGTGTGATCGCAAAGGGTACCCGTCTACTCAACAAAGACGTTAGAGAGGAACTTGCGAATCTGTATCAGCAGCAAACGGGTCAATGATGTAAACACCGAAGCCGTTATTTATTGAACGACATCTCTAGTTCATCCCTGAATATATTGGATTTCTGATGATTCCGTTCATGCCACTCTGATGGTTAAAGTACCTCTGAGATGAAATGATGCAGCCATAGGCTAAATATAACCCAAGTGGGTATGCAGGGATATTGATGGTATTCAGAAGCCTATCACAAATCAATGAAATTCTCTAATAATATGCTTGATCCACTTCAAGTAGGAAACTACTAAAAGAAGCAGACGAGGGAAAAAGTATTACTCGTCCATGTGAACCCAGACGCAGAACAGTTATGTGAAACTGAACAGTGACCATCAACCGAATACCAACCCGGACCCTTACACAAACTATAACTCGAACATATCAGCTTACAAAGAGCAGACCCGTAACTATGTCAGCAAGCTCTGAAAAAGGTTCTCACACATAGAAGAGTTTTTCAAGGCGTTATCCAGAAAATGATTTGCCTATGCACGAATGCCCACCTGTATCCTTATATGAACATGAACATTAACGACCACCTGATTACGAACTTTCGCGGAAAGAACCTGTTATTGGCGAAAACAAGATGAAACATTGCGCAGACTGGTAATGAGGAGACACCCACACAAAGGATAAGACCATGGTGGGCCGTGTGACCACCACAACAGTACGAATCGACTGGAAACGCTCGTG